ATTCAATGGTACCTGCGTTACGGTTCTCTTCTCTGTGACTGTAACAAAACGCCGAAAGCACTTGTTGCTTCCTTGGCTTCTTTTCTTCTTTTTCTCCTTACGCTTCTCGTAGCTTTCCCTCGAGCTTACTCCAAATCCCCTGAAACTATTTCAATAAAACAGTAGCCTTACAATATAGACGAGAAAGGCGAGAAATTAAAGCTTACGCTTCGATGATTTGGTACTTGAAAAAAAGGAAAGAACAAAAAAGAAGGAAAAAGAAGAGAATGCGACTATTTAGTTGCCTTTTTCTTTTTTGCCAGAAAATAGAGGAAATCAATGGATCCTACTGAATGTGCATACTCCGATTGGCAGCGAACGTGGTTTCCTCTTTTGTTTCCGTATTTTTTTTTTCTTATTTTTGGATTAACAAACGGAGACTGCATCCTTAAGCCAGCTGGGGATCAGGGGAAGGGGGAGGGGACAAAGCTGTCATCGGGCGGTTGGACCGCGCTTTTGTGATGACCCAGAAGAGAACATTTGCTAAGCTTAAACGTGGCAGCACATGATTTTGCTTTATTTTACACAAGTGTCGCAGTCCGCCCATAACGCTCGCGATGGGAGATCATTTTTCTCTATCATTGCTAGTTTCCTTTTATACCCACTAATCTATCAGCGACTTCAAATTTATATTTTAGATTACACCACCGACATCTTACAGTTTCTTCGGATTATACCATGTACTGCGCAAGTTTTAAATTTTTAATAAGAAACCATATAAGTTTATGCTAACAAAATTGTATGTTAAGGGTAGGGGAGTCCAAATTCAAATCGAATGGAAGATTTGATCTATATCCAAGTAAGTTTAGTTTTTTCAGTTTTATTAGTTTGATATTTAGCTATTTTGGTTAATTAAATTAGATTAAAATGATTTAATCGATTCTATTTTTAATTTAAAATTTTTTTAATTAAATTAACTGAATTAATTGAAGTGAGTAATGCTTATAACTATAGCAAATTAATCGAAATAGTTCGGTGTTGGGTTTTTGGGTTAGTACAAATACTTCGATTTTGTCTCATTGTTTAAAGGAGTTTAATTTTTTTTAATTTTGAGATTTTTAAAATTAATTTCACCAAACTAATCATTTACACACTCTAAATAAAGGTGTGACTCATCAAATTGCAACATCATAGTGTAGCAATGAGAAAATTCATAGTTGTTGTTGGACAAAAATACTTTATTTTTTATTTAATTAATTATTAAGAAATTTTTAATATTTAATTTAAGTTTTTAAAAATTTTTAATTTTATTTTATTAATAAAGTGACAGTATTTATTGAAGTAACAATGTATAAATATAAAGATTATATATTGTCGTGTATCAAAAAATAGATCATTGTTTAAAATTAAATTAAAAAAGGACAAAAATTAAACTAGAAAATGGAGGATGACAATCCAATGATGCCAGCGTGGTAAGAGCTGGTGTGGCGCGGTCGGATGGCTACAACCGTGCCGCGCAATTCCTGGCCAAACATAAGGCCAAGCAACACAGTTGATCGTTCCGACACGTAAAATTCAAAAGGCCTTTTTAAAATGCTTTAAACGAATAATTTGGTCTCTTTTATTTTAAAATAATATTTTTATCTTTTATTATTAACACTGTTAATCAATCATTAGAAAAATATATCTAATATTACATAAATGTTTTAAAAGATAAAAGTTCTCTTTAAAAAATTTGTTCATGTTTTTTTTCAAAATTTAAATTTAATATTTGATAGAGAAAAAAACTTAAAATTTAATAAAATTTTATAACGAGATTTATGAATACGGTATTTTATTTCACTTTGATACTTGATAAAATTTAATATTTAAAAAAAATAAAAAAATTTAAAACTTTTTATATATAATGATTAAGTCAAAATCTTTGTAAGTCACTTTAAATTCTAATCTCAAAGAACAAATTTTGGATAAAAAATTTTCAACAAAATTAGTAATCACGAGTATAAAATTAATTCCTTGACCCAACACCATCAAATTTGAAGTATTTATCATTGAACAGAAAATTTATATTTTAATACATTATTTTCAATGAAAATAAAAATATCAAAATGTTGAAGAAATAAAGAGTTTAATCATAAGAGACTTTACTTAAAAAAAGAAGTTTATAGTTTTCATGGCATATACAATTTTAAGTTTTCAAACTTTCAAATGAAAATTTTTTAAGTATTTTTTCTATTTAAGATTTTTAAGAGAATGATGAGCAGATTCTTAAAAAAAAAGAATATGTTCAAATTAAAAAATAATATAAAGGGTACTTATATTTTAAAATATTTATGTAGTAATAAATTTAATTTTTTTTGACAATTTACTAATGATGTTAACAGATAAACATCAAAAATATCATTCTAAAATAAAAAGGATCAAAATGTTATTTTAAAATGTTTTGAGAAAATTTTTGAATTTTATCCCATTTCGTCATGTAGTCGAAATGCTGGGAAGTGTTTCTATTAAGAAGACCCTTTAATGATCATAAAATAATTAATAATATAAGTAAAAAATAATTATATATTTTTTTATATTAAAAAAATAATTATATAAATATAATTAAATGTTAAGCACAACAAGAAGCAATAGAAATATATATATATATATATATAATTTTATATATGGGAGTAACTGAATTTATTGTCGCAAGTTAAATGTTACCGACTCAATTAGTAAAATTATATTAATCATTTATTTTTCTAAATATTAGAATCGAAACCCACTTTAAATTTATTTATTTTAATTATATACTACGTAAAAGTACCTTTTGCTCTAAAACACAACCGTCTTTCTATACTTTCCTTTTTTATTTACATAATAATTGGGTCTTCGCCAATTTTAGTATACAATATATGAAATATTATAAATAATATTTAAAATAACTTTAAAGAGTGTTTTGGTGCGTGTCTAATGTAATAATATAAAGAGGGAAAAGACGTGAGGGCAATGTGCATTTGCAAACGCAGAAAGCCACGGAGGATGTGGTATGTTCTGGCGGGTCCAGGTGTCATGTTTTCAAATGAAGAAAAGTGTCAAGAAGAAAGACCCCAATCATACTTCTTTTGTTCCGTGTGTTAATCAAAGTTCTGTGTCTGTCAGTCACTTTATTAGTTTATTTTCCGCTCTTCGCGCATTTAAAATAAACTATTAATTATTTCTATTTTATTGTTTGTTTAAATGTATGCATTAATGATGATTCAATCAATTAATAAAGAAATTAAATGGTAATTTTGAAAGATTGCATCGTTCATAAAACATATTAAATTATTTCGAGTAAATTAAAAAATTTAAAAATAAGATATACAATTTGGAAATTGCCTAAATCAAAGAAATTTTCTAAAAATATATTTCCCAAAAAATTGAAAAATAAATAAAAAAAGAATAGATTAAATAGTAAGTTTATTTATTAGTATTTTAATCTAGAAAGAAAAAAGAAAAATGAGATATGGCATATGAAAATCAATAATCTATTTTGAAAAATAATTACCTTGAAAAGAAAAGAAAGTAAAACATAAATGGCGAAAAGGAAAAAGTATCGACTTTCGATCGTCTAAGAAACAAAAAGGAAACTTAGAAGAGAGAGAGCGAAAAGATTACGTGATAAGTTTATTGACATTGTTATTTTGTTCCCGTTCTTTTTCCTTTTTATTTTCATTTTTTAATTTCCTTTTTTTTTTTTCCGTAGTTCTTCTTCTCGCTATCGAATAAACTTGAGTTTGAAAGTTGAATAGGTTTTCAGTATTATTCTTAGAATAACTTAAACTCAAACTTGATTATATATATTTATATATATTTTATTTTTTTATGAATAAAAATATTTACAAAGAAAATACAGTAAAAAATAATATTTATATAAAAAATTATATTTTTTAATTTTAATTTTTTTTCTCTTTTTCATTGGTACTCCCAATCAAACTCTTTTTTTATTATGTATTATATATATATATATATATATTAATACTATATAAATATCTCAAAATTTTGTAATTTATGAAATTCAAACTTTTATGCCCGTTTACCTCTCACACAATCTTTGCTATTTTAATCAATTTTTTTATAAATTAATAAATATAAATTAATTTTTATATGGTTCTTAGTCATTATTGTTTGAGATATTTAATTGGATATTTAACGGATTTGGATAATCAATAGATAGTGCTATATTTATAGGGTTTAATTTTTTATAATGTTATGCGATTATATTCAAGTTTTGATAGGATTCAAATATGGTCTATGAATTTGAAAATTGACTAATACCATTTTGTTCTTAGTTACAGAAAATGAGCTCCTTTCAATTAAAATTAAATTAATAAAAACATTTTGATTAAACTAATTAAATTAATTTAATTATTTGATTAATTAAAAATGAAACAAATTACAAATCAATTAAGTCAATTATTTTTCTGAAACTTTTGTCTGATTAATCGACTTAATTGATTTGTACATAAATTATTTAATTATAATATATACATGGATATAATTTTCATATAATAATATAAACATATTAAATTATTACATCATGTAGGAATTAATCAATCGAATTTATTAATTGATTAATTAATTAAAATTTTATTTTATTTTTGAAAAAGAAAAATTTTATTACTTTCAAGTATTCATGGAAAATAAGCATTCAACGAATAAAAAAATAATAAATTCATGATTTCTTTTTGAACGCATTCACTTAATATGATTAAAAGAAGATTTTAACCAAATTAATCATTAACACACCCTTGGCCATGACCTTTTTCTCCAATTCCTCTAATTCTCTCTCCCGATTCTTCCTCTATGTCAATCCAAATCCTTTGCAAGTTTCCTCAACAATTTAACAAAAAAAAAAAAATCACCTCTCATCTTTAGAACATTTGTCGCTCTCTAATGTGTTTGAAGCTAACTAATGCTTTCTCTCTTTGGAATGACGAATAGACATGTCACATGTTTATGGCACCAAACCAGGCCCTCTTGGCACATTGAAAACCTTGACTTAGGTCCAAGCTCAGTCTTATCCCGTCTGCCTATGAATATTATATTATTTTTTTATTAATAATAATTTTTTATATTAATTTTTTAATATTTTTAAATTAAAATTGATATCTTATATAATTTTATAACATGTTTAATATTTAAAAAGCTTTAAAGTTTTCAACGACAGTTAAAAAATTATTTTTATATCAAAATACTAGTTACTTTTATTCTTTTTGTTTTATATTGGATATCCAAATTTCACTAAGAAAAACGCTTTGACATTAGTGTTTTTAATATGTTTTAACCGTTTTTGTTAACATTGATAAATTACAATTTTTAATTTCAAAAGGTAAAATAAATTATTAAAAATTAGTGTGAAATATACAAAGAGTTGTAAGTGTTAAAATGAAAGTGGATATAATTTTGAAATGAAAAGAATAAAATCAATAAAAAGACATTTACACACATTCAAAATGAGCAAAATAATATTTATTTATTTTGTTTTATGTAATTAATCATTCATGTATTCATAATTCATCCATCAACTTAAATCAACGACTTTATTTATAATTTTACTCTCAAGTCCGTTTTCCCCTCCATTTTTCTATCCCTTGCACCAAAATCTGGGAGAGCAAAACAAATTTTAATTCTTTCATGTTTTTCCCTTTTACATTGCTTCCATTTTTTTCCTTCTTACCAAACAGAATATTAATTTTTGTAAAATAAATGGTCGCAAGCTGATAACATAGCAAAGGATGAATAGATAGAGATACATACCTGGAAAATGCAGAGAATCCGAAAACATGGTACAGCTGATGAGAAAAGAATCAAAGCTCCCAGCCTCTGCACTCTGCATCAATCAAGAAAATGAGGTAAATGAGATGCCCTGCCATATTCTATTCTGATATCTCTCTTTTAGCAACAAATCCTGCATATATATATATAAATATTCTCCTTTTGGGATTCGCACGACTCATGCAGCATCATGTACAATAAATGTAAATATTCCATATATTTTGTATTTATGATTAAGTAAGGTTTATAAGCTCATTAATGAGAAGACTGGTGGCAGATTTCATAATAATAATTTAATTGGAAAGGAAAAAGAACCATCTGCCAAAAACAGGAGAAGAAAATATAAATAATTGAAGCAGATATGTACCCACTAGGAGTTGAAAACTTGTAATTAAGCTGAGAATTTTGGTGGGGGAAAGCAAAGGTTTATGGAACAAAGAGAGAGTCATACAGCGCTATGTGTCGCTTTATGTAACTCAAATTCAATGAATTTTTACGTAAAATTATATAAAGACCTGGCTAATGCATCCATAAGCTTATGAATATAGTTGGAAAGAGAGGAAAAGAAGAAGACAGAGCTTGCGGGAATGTATGATTTGAAGTTCGATAGACCACACCAGTATCACTTGCGCGTACATCAAACAAGAATTAGATTCCCAGAAGGTTATGGACATGTCTGGAAATCTCCATAGTGAGGGGAGGACTAAAACAATGGGCACTGCAGTCTGCAGGCCTTGGCTGCAAAATTGTAAAACAAGATAGTTCTATACTTTTTAATGCACTTTACATCTGTACCACGGTTAAAACAATCCAACTTGCTGATTTTTCGGTCAAAAGTACTTTAGTCTTCGAATTCTTTAATTTCCTCTTTTTTTATACCCCAAAAGCTCTCTGGCGCTGCATGTTCACCCTATGTTTTCTTTCATCTCTTCTTCCAAAGCAAAACGTACCCAGAATTATATATACCAACAACGTCTTTTATTTTGTGCTGAATTCCAACTCAACTCCTGCCCTACCTTCCAAGTAATACCACCGCCACTCTCGTATAAGAACAAAATTACGTAAAGAAATAGGAAGGTTATATGACATTTCTATATTTTATTTTATATATTTACTTACTGATAATTTCACCAAGCAAGTTGGTTAGGATTAGGAACACCAAACTCGTCACTCCCGTAATTATATAATAGTCTAACTATTAGTTAACAAAAACTTGTAATTTGTTCTCATTAGGAGTTGCAAATTGATTCGGCTCGGTTCGCGTTTTGAACAAATTCGAAGTAATTTCTGATAGATGACAAAATTAAATAAAGGTTATCATAATTATTTATAAGGGGACACGTGGTGGTATTTGTTTGGGGGTTTGGCAAGAAATTAAGGAGGCATGAAAAGACAGCAGAGGATTTGCATCCATGTCGCAGTCTTACCTAAAAAAAGACGATTGAGTAGTGTTGGCTCTATATACTTTTTAATATTAGCAAAATACATATTCTCCTTTTTTGCTTTCACATGTGAACTCAAGTGTCCGACAAAAACTCCTACACTAGTAAACCTAGCTTTAGAAAAGATTGGGTATTTGTATTAAAGAACAAATAGTAAACATATGTGATTAAACGATAAATCAGTGGAATTATTCAGTTGTCAAGACAAGAACTAAAGCAATCATGACAATAAGAGAAACTACCTTCATATGAATGAAGTTGATCAACTATGAATATGACTAATCGAATCCAGTGTAGCTTATAGATGAAAAAGCTCATGACAGTGCACCAATCCAAACCAGTAAGGTTAAGTGACCAAAGTAAACAGATTGAGTTGAGTTAACTAAAATCCTCCTTCAAATAAACTTGTCCGGCATCATCCAAAATGAATTTTAAATGGTTCAGGAAGGATAGCTAATGTTCATATAATGACAATTAATCTAGACAACCTAGTTGAAGAATGAAGATAACCTTGATTGACAAATGGGTTCTTTCAAGCTATCAACAAGAATAACAAGGTCCGAAGTTGAGAGTTTAAAGATTCAACTGAATGATCAACTAATGTAAAATTTCAAGTGACTGATCAAGGATGTTACACACTTAATTTGCAAAATCGCATGTAACTGAAATTTGTAGCAAAACTAGTACAGTTCCAATAGGGAAATTCTATTCAAATGGCTAGAAATTCAAAACATGGTATGGAAGAATTGTTGCTATGGATTTCAAACCATCCAGGGAGAGAGAGAGAATGGTGCAAGGAATTTCTCTCTAGTTTAGTTACACTTTAGGCTTAATTCTTATCTTTAGATAAAAAAAAAAGTTAGTTTTTTTTTTAGACTTAATGACTTATTATTTTGTTCATTTACGTGTATCATTCTTCATGCATCTCTTTTTACCTTTAAAATCTTTAACTTTAAAAAAAGTGTTAATCGCTAATTTTCCTCTAACATTGCCCTTGGGACCAACCGTGAAGACTGCATCCACCAGTCAACAAGTAAAGTCCTGAGCAGTTGCTCTCGATCACATGATAGGCCATGTTCCTTAATCCTTGGACGGAGATTGGGTGGACTTCATATGTCAGGCACTTCTCGTGTCTATGTTATTTAAGTGGCATGCTGTAATTTCAAATACTAATACACTATTGTAGAGTTTAGTCATATTAATTATATTCTCCAAGCTATATGGTTTATGTAGCTTCAGCTTTCCAGTAAGGAATAACCTTACAAATTTCCCCTTTTCCTCTACCCAATTCCCTTCACGTCTTTGGGATATGTGCATGTGCCAATGAAGGAGACAACCCAGTTTGCTTCTTGAACGAGGTTTGCTACATTTCTGATTGAGAAAAATATTGGATACTTGCAGACATGAACTAATATTAACCAGGATATATAATTCTCTATGAAACAACTAATCAAAATATATATTAATGTGTCCCAAAGGTCAAAAAGTTCAATAGATTGCTTAGTAATTGAACTAATTAAAAAGAGGAGGTTTGTTTATAAAAACATAAATTTTCAAGAAAATGTGTTTTTGTCTGCACCTTATAAATGCAAATTTGTCAAAAAACGATTTTAAAGATTATTCTATCTCAGAAATAAAACTTTCTCACCCTTTGAAATGATATTTAAATAATTTTTTTAAGAAAACGATTTAAACGTTCTCAGTGATTTAATATCATTTATCAAAAAATTCAATAGTGAAAATTAAGTACTTTTTTTTAGTTCTGAAAGAAATTATTGTATTTTTCTGAAAAAATTGTTTGGTATTCTATTGAAAATTAATTGCTAAATAGATGTTTTGTTGAATTTCCTCTAAGTATTTTTACATTAGTAAAAGTTAAAATGGAAAAAAAATTAAACAGGAAAGAAATTATAAGGTTAATGTAATTAAATGACAAATTTTTCCTTAAATAAAAAAAGATTGAATAATTAAGTAGCTAAGATTTTCAACACTTTGTTATTGAAAATCTTCCATTTAAGTGGTTTCTAAAATGAATTATCAAAGCCATTCAACAAATTAAACAATTGAAAAGTTTCATTTTTAATGGTTTGAGAATTTTCAATGGTGTATCAAACACACCTTAAGAAATTAAATTAATTAAAAAGTCATGAAAATATTTTATAATTATGAAATTTTAGTTTGGACCTTCTAAATGTTAAATGTTTGGATCTATCAATGTTTATAATTTATAATGGACAAAAAATACAGGCTTGTATAAACTTTTTCTTGATGAAAATTGATTTTATTATAAATGTAAATTTGAAGTTTAAATAATTAATAGAGTTTTACTTCATATTGAGTTGCTTTCCTTAAGTTCTAAATTAGATTTAGCGATGGCAACAGTTACCCTTTAATCAGGTACCTACTAGTATTTAACCCGATTATATAGGATTGGGATACCCTATATTCGTATTAGGATGGATTCAAGTAGTAATTTTACTATCCATATTGACTTCGGGTGAAATACAAGTATCACCCTCTGAATATATGATACTCGAACCTGTTTATAAATAAATATGTGTAAAATATATTGTATGTTTTTAAAAGGTATTGAACCTTGACTATGCTTTTAAACAACCAATAATCTTTCCAATTTAACCAAATCTATATTTTGACATTACATGAAAAGGAATTATATATATAATTGATTAATTATTTTTTTCTCTAACCCGAAATGGGTATTTAATGGGTTTAAGTATTTAACGTAGTTATAGGATATTAGGGTACGAATTTGGGTAATATTTTTAAATTTTATACAAGTAATTATGGGGTTCAAGTACTTTATAATTTAATAGGGTTCGGGTTTGGGTTTTTAAAAATAACAGACACCTTACCTGTTGACATCCTTATTTAAGTTAAATACTAGTAAAGTGTAATCTAAGGTGTTCCTAAAAGAAGAAAGAAACGTAAAAGCTAATCTATGTGAGGTTCCAAAAAAACATAAGAGTTATGAATGGAGGGTTATTATCACTTTCAAGATAACAAATTTTTATTATGCAAGTCATGAGGAAGGACAAAAAGGACAATGGATCTCGACTTATTATCGTTAATAGAGACTACAAAAAGAACTAATGGTACTGTTGACAAGAACCTGGATGGAGAAGCTAGGAAGATGAGTGGAAAGTATTTTGTTCACGGTTGTCATGGACAATCTCAACCTTAAGGTTGCATGGGATGCATTAAGGAACATTTTCAACCTCTATGGGTAATGAGGGATGTTTTCATCCAACACCTTAGAGTAGAGACAAAACAAAGTTAATGACTTTTCCTTTTTCAACCATTGCTTTGTGTTAGAGATGTAAGTAGCGATAAAAGATGGCAACAAAAAAATCATTGATGGGCGGTAGATTAAGGTAAAGATGACAAGCTTTTTTCAGTTTAGCTAATTGTGTCAAAATGAAAGCGAGCAAGGAACCAATAGCACAAGGAAGAATGGTAAACATTGAGCACCCCAAAGAATACAAAACAAATAAGGAAGCTCTGATTATGTGAACCCCAGTTTTGACTTAAGGTTAAAATTGTAACTTAACTTAGTAAACAGGTAAAATTATGTGCCTTTTATGATTTTTTGAAC